TGGAGGGTACTTCTCTTCTTCTCTCTTTCTCTCAAGAAAAACTTTATCATAAAAATCACCAAAAAATCCAAGAGACTGGGGAAGGGTAGGAATAGCTATTAAAACATATAATTTGAAAACAAATACTTAACTATCTTCTTTAGCTCTGAACTATCAATATTCAGAATAATGTATAAACTCCAACTGCATCAAATCACACAAAGCCAATAGCATGTGGTGTTAAGTACTTCTTTCTTAACAAAAAATTTGACTTAAGTCATATTCCAAAGCTAGTCAGTAGCAGGACCAGACCTATGACCTAAGTCGTTTGATTCTCTTTCCAGAGTCTTCTGCTAACCTACTCCCTATTTAACCAAACTGTATACCTGGCTGGGAAATAATGTGCTGGTTCAAAACAAAAAAGGACATGAAACTTGCATACTCCCAAAGTAACCTGAGGAAGACAATTCCAAAAAGACTCCTATTTCTATGTAAAATTTTCTGAAAACTGTTTCAATAACAAGTTTTTCTGGGTTTCCTTTAAATTCTATAGAAATAAAAAACAATAATAGCAAGAAATCATTTAATATTCTCAATAGTTAGAAAGGTGACAAGTCTTTACTTAAGTGTCAAACAGAAATTTTTGCAATGATGGAAATTTTCTGCATCTTCATTGTCCAATACGGTAGCCACTGGCTACATGGAGCTGAGAGCTTGAAATATGCCAACTGCACTGTGGCACACCTCTGTAGTCCCAGCTACTTTGAACTCCGTGTTGTCAGCCTGGGCAACACAGTGAGACCCTATCTCTAGCTAGCTCCATGGCACAATGGTGATGCGCTGCTTAAAAGAAGTCAGATTTCACATGGCAACCATGGCTGAAATCCCTGGCCTAGTCAGCCTGAAACACACAAGGCATGTACATTTACAAATGCTCACGATTCGCTTGGCTGGAGGAATAGAGGATTGTGATTCAGGCATGGCCAAACCCTGTGAAGGGTTCTCTCTTTCTCCCTCTCACCTGCACATGCACACATATTCTCTACCATGAATGAAGAAAACCACCTTTAAAAGAAATGATATTCTGATTAAATCAAAAGGTGGCTGATCCATATTCTCCACTCTGAAAAGCTAACTTTTTTAGCTCTTTAACAGCTAACAGATAGGAATTAAAAGGTAATAATGCTAAAAATCTGGCATCCTTCCTTTCAAGGAGGCAAAAAACAAAATACTGGCAAGGCCACTGACAAAACATTGACAAGGCTCCTTCATTCTAAGAGAATAACAGTGAAACAGCTCTTCCCTATCTGGCCACAGTTCAACGCTATGGTGGTAACTGCAGAACAGAAGTCCAGGGACAACACTCGACATCCAGAAGACAAATGCAAAGTTCATGTCTATAGGCACCTAGGTAGTAATGCCACCTGAAACTGTTGTAGCATTTTAAATGTTTTACCTGTTTCCCTGAAGACTGTATCTCATGTGATCCTCATAATAGTTCTATTAAGTAAATAAGGAATAGTCTGATACTCTATGGAACCAAAAGTCATGATCAAAAGTAAACATGAGTGTATAATTATGTAGAATTTTCCTTATCTTTCTAATTGGGTTTGTTTATGTGTTTATATATACCTCCTTGCTTAAGGAAAACAATACAAAACAACAAGATCGTATCAATTCAATTAAGTATAGTGACATATACTGAGTTTCTTACTAAAAGAATAATGGCTTTACAGATCCTAAAATTAAATTTCAGTGAAAGAACATATTTCTATAGATATCCTATATCTCAAAGGGCATTTTCTTCCTGTATCTTATATTTATTATTATTTTTCCCTTTCCTCACTCAAAATCTGCTTTCAGTCATCTTCCTCCCTAGTCTCTGAACTGTCTACTCACAAATTAAGTCATATAAAAAAACTTTTGAAGATAAGAAGTGGTTCAACTTGTTTTGAATTACCACCATTTCAAATTTGTGAAACAAAGGATAACCATGTTAAGATGAAGATGTTATAGAATATATATTTCCTAAAGAAAATACATAAAAACAAACAGAAATCCTAACAAAAAATCTTATTTATATAAATTAAAAGTTATTTAAATAATTAGATTGAGGCAGATGATTTGTCAATTATTAGGTCGTCGGGGAAGTCACGATGTCTTTTTCTATGTTTTCCTATGCAAAAATGCGTCATGACTTTCCCAACAACTCAATAACTCATTTTAAATACCATCTTAAAAATTACCCGTGTTGGCCCAACCATGGTGGCGACAGCAATGAGTCACTAGGTGTGATTTACCACAGGGGAGACCTAGGTTCAGATCCTGGGTTAAGCTGGGTGGTACAGGCATGACCAATCTATAATGCTGCCTGGCTGAGAGGCTGGCGGGAGGACTGTGGTGTGGTGAGACCGTGTCAGGACTATCTGTCTCTCTGTCTCACTCTCTAATTAAAGAAATAAAGTTTTAAAAAAACTGTTAGAGGGCTGTACACTACCTGGAGAGAGACAGAAAGAAAAGGAAGTGAGAGAGCACCGCCTGCGAGGGGTGGTCACAGTCCAATGCCTTTTCCTTCACTTCTCCTATTGGGATTTTCAGCATGCCTGCATATATGCACAGTGTTTTGCAAGCTGTCAGATCCAGGACTCAAACCATGCTGCTGGCCATGTGGGATCCAGCTGCCTTATCCATCAAGTCACTAGCTGGCCTGAAACAAATAAACACTAAAAAAAAAAAAAAAAAAAAAGAATCAACCCGGGGACCAGCAGGTAGCATCATAGTGGTTATATTGCTGGCCTCCCACATGGCTGATCACAGTTCAAGTTCCAGACCCAGTGGCTTGAAATTCATGCCAGGCGTGTGTGTGTACATGCCCAAGATCCTGGGAGGAGAATAGAAGAGAAGGGACTGTGGTGTGGCCATCCCCTCCCCCGGGGGGGCAATTTCTCACTTTTCCTCTCTCTGTCTCTATCTCTCCCTCTCCAGCAAGCACAAGTCCCAAGGCAAAAACCTCTACAAGAAAAAATATTGGAGCCGGCAGGTGGTGTGGTGGTTGAGGGCACTGGACTCCCACATGTTCAAATTGCAGTTCGAGATCTGTACCTGGCAGTTTGCTTTCTCATTTTCCCTCTGTCTCTGTCTCTGTCTCTCTCTCTCACTCTATCCCTCTCTGGTCAAAATCAAATATTCTTTTTAAAAAAGAAAAAAATTAACTCATTTAATGAACTATACATTAAAAAACTGTAAATTTTAAAATAATAACCCAGTTAAGAACAAATGTTTATTACAAAGCTCTATGCTTCTTTATATTAATGGCAGAAGTGTCACTTTGAGAAGAACCTGTTACCAATATAATATTTAGTGTATTTAGAATATCTTTCCATAATAACAAGATAACTTCATTGCCATTTACTCATCCATAAAGTACTTCAAAATGAAGCTATTAAAATGAATGAGAACAACTTCTCTTCTAATAATATTTATATAGTTTCTTTTTAAGAATTCTTTTGTTTAATTTTATTTATTTATTCATTTATTTTAATTTGATCAGAGAGAGACACACAGAGAAAGAGAGAGGGAAAGTGAGAAAGCAAGTTGGGACTTGAACCATGGTCAGCCATGTGGGAGTGTCCAGTGCCTTAACCACTACAACACCTGCTGGTCCCCATCATTTACATGGTTTCTCCAGAATGATTTATATGATTGTTGTTTTAAGGAAATTCCAAATACAATACTAACATTTTGAGGCTTTGGACCATCCCCATGGCCTTGTGGTTAAGGAAGTCGAATCCCACGTGGTCATTACAGTTCAAATCCCAACTCCAGCAGCTTGAAAAATATGCCCAGGGCACGTACACGTGTGCCCAAATCCCAACAGGATGGAGGAATGAAGAAGAAGGGATTATGGCATGACCATGCCCTATTGCGGGGCAGGAGTAGAGGGGGGAGATCCTTTCTCCCTTTGAGCATGCATTCTCTCTCTGGCAAGCAAATGTACTCTTGGGCAATTACGAAAAAGGTTTGAGACTTCAATTCTAGCCCAGTTATTTTGGTCATTTCAATCTGAAAATCACAATTAAGATAGTAGTAAACTCTTTAAATAAAGTACAAGCACAAGATATGGTTTTGGTTTCTGTTTTTCAAAACATATTTCGGAAAATAAATATTTCACTTATATACACAGAAATATTCATTGAAATCTTGCAAATATCTATGAAGCCCCAGAAGGTCACAAACAAACAACACTGGACATCTTCATTTTCTGTATCTAGACATACCATTATGAATACAGAAATTAAGCTACTTATCACAAAAGATGAAGCTACTTATCACAAAAGAATTGAAGCTATATCTTTAACTATGAATTATCACCCCCACCAAATTTGGATATGAAAGAGGCAATATCCAAGTTTTAAACAGGATATTTACCAAAAAAATCAAGTCTCGTGCCACATAATTTGTTTCTGGCTAAACAGAGAATAAATTAGATCATCTCTTAATTCAAAAAGAGGTTACACATCAGCCAAACAATTAAATTTGATATTTTGAGGGGAAAAAAGTTCACTCAAATGTAGTCATTTCACATGAAATTTCGGCAATAATATGAAAAGTCCAATTTAGGCAAAACTATCAACTATGTAAATTACAAACATTTGTCTGCTTATGAAAGACCTATGAATATACTGTATTATGGTGAAAATCCCAACAATCTCAACTCTTCCTATGTTAAATGGACCCAACTGCTAGGAACCAAAGAATGAGTTTTCTTTTTTCATACTCTTGTTTTCTCACACTCATCAAAGTTTCTATTACACACTACCTAATTTTCCAATTATATAATAGTGTACACAGTAAGCATCAAACATTTGGCCAAAACACCACCACCACCACCACCATGAAATAACTAAAGCAGAAAAAGAATGGCCTGTTCCTATCACCTTGTACACACTTGTAGTTTGACTAGCATTTTAATATTTTACAAATTATCCAGTAAGAATACTAAGAGAAAACAATTGACAAACCTGAAAAAATAGCTTCTTTCAAATACAGTAACATATGGGAGAACTTCCTGATATCATTCACCAACTCCTTGATGTAATCCGGATCAAAAATGGAGTTGGAACTTAAGGACTTGAGCCCCATTTCAGAAGATGTAACATCAGCAGAGAGTTGGCCTGATGCCCAAACACGTTTTTTCTTTGTCTTTTTCTGTTTGTGAGCAATCATCCTTTCATTTAACAATCAGAAAAACTGAAATCCTTAAGGGGTAAGAAACAGAGAGAGAGAGAGAGAGAGGGAGGGAGAGAGAGAGAGAAAGAAAGAAAAACACAAATACTACATCAGCCAAGGAAATATACAAGGTTTTCCACAAATAACCCACAGCCCACCTCAAGTGTTATATTTTAAAACTTTTTAAATATATCAAACACTATGCTACTAAAAATAGCAGTTTCCATTTAATAAAGGCCAGTAATGTTGACAACTCTATGATATGAAAACTACTGCTGTTTTCATTTCACAAGTGAACAACCTGCAGTTTCGAGGTTAAAATTTTGTTTAAGCTCTCAGAGAACTGGACTTACACCTAGATCTGCCTTGACACCTGAATCCATGCATGCTCTTAATAATTTATTTTTAATTTCTAGAGCATGGAATTTTTTTCATTGTAAAATTGATTCTGAAACATCATTTAGTGTAAGGTCATATTCTTCTTCAGTGACATCATCTTCAAAAGTAAAGAAAAACTATGGTCTTTGAAAAATGAAATACCTGTTTCAAAATCCTCCTCCATCACCTCTATGATCTAACAAGCTGTTCATCATCTCTTCACTTTGATACGCTCATTTATAAAAGAATAATAACATCCCGACAATATCTACCCTAAGAGACTAGTTTGTAAAGGTTAGATGAAACAATAAAGTGTCCAGCACAGAAAAGAAGTTCGGCTACAGTTAACTTTCTCTAATAACACAAATACATATACACCCAGGGTTATCAAGTTTTATCAAGGATATTTCTTTGTTGAGGCCCAGGAGGTGACATGGCAATTAAGGCACTGGTTCCCACAAGGCTGCTCAAATCACAGACCTAGAAGCTTGAAAAGCACACGGGGTATGCATGCATGCATGTCCAAAAAACAAAGGGCAGAATGGAGGAAAAGAGACTGCAGAGTGGCACCCACCCTGGGGGCTGATTTCTCATTTTCCCTCTTTCTGTCTCTCTCCAGTAAGCACACAAACCCTATGGTAAAAATCTAAACAGACAAACAAAAAAATGAAAAGAATTTAGCTTTCTTGAAAAGTTCTAAGAATGTGTGTTAATCTGACACACTCTGATTGAACAAATAAATTATCAAAGCAATTTTTTTTTGTTTTTGTAATTTTGGGATGGTATAGTAAAAAGGCTGTCCTTTGGTATAAAAAAACTTTTCAAATTTAAATTCTGACTCTAATATTTTCTAAACATGTGACCTGATCCAATATACTTATAGGCTTGTATGTTAATTAACAAGGCTCACAAAATTTTAAAACTTTGTATGTCAAAATGCTTAATCATAGTTAGAACTCAAGAAAATCTTAGTTTGTTTCTTCTTCAGCCTCATTTTACCTTTACGGAATTCAAAGTTCTCATTTTGTTCATATCTCTTGAAACAAAAAAGTAAGTGATTGGAGGAATTAAATTAGCTCAAGTGTCATCATTACAACATTTTTCAAATATTTTGTCTTGAGGGTCAGGCAGTGACACATGAGTAAAGCCACTGGACCTACGTAAGAAAGGTTCTGGGTTCATCTCCAGGAGCCTCCTGAGCACACAAGGCACATGTGCAGGCCTGTGGTGCAGCATGACATGAAGACTCTGCTGGGGTGTGCGTCTGTCACTCTAATAGAAGAAATACATAAATAAACTTTAAAAACAAGCATTTTGTCTTGAATATTTGGATACTTTCAAAATAGTAAAATACCTAAGAACATCTGTAAAATTTACAGTAGAAAGTTTTATGTAGTATTTGTTTCTAGCCATGTGTAATAGGTATTACTGTACCCTCTGCTCTTTCCTTACCCAATGCCATAGATGTTTTTCTTCCTGATCTATAGTTCCCTTTTCTATCCACTTCTATCCCTACTGCTACCACACTAGTGGTTTACCATCACTTCTCACCTAAGCTATTGTACTCATTTCCTAATAATCTCTTTGCATTTATTTTTATCTCATTCCAAATGCAGTAAGTGAACTTAGATATAAACTTCATGATGTCATTTCTCTGCTCAAAATCATTCCAAAGGACATGTGAAAACTCAAGATCTATAAGGCTCAATGTGAAATCTGGCTCCTACCTCTACCATGTCACCTGGAGACATCACTCCTGGCTCTCAACACATCTGCCACACACACACCCTCATTAGTCCAACAGTAACTTTTTCTACCATAACCCACGGAGAAAATAATTTTACATCATGAACACATGAATACACTAAGTATATTATTTTGTATGTACTATGTATGTAAGAATGCATTTATGTTTCATAAAATATAGATTCTGGCTAAGGATCCACATGATAAATACTATTTTAAAAATTCTATACCATTTCATTTTTTTATAATTTTTTTCTACAAGGTGTGTGTGACCACCAGAGAGAATGAGAGAAAAATAGACAGTGAGAGGGAAAGTGACAAATCACCCTCTGGGGGAGATGGTCATGACACAATCCCTTCTCCTCCACTGTCTTCTTGGGATCGTGAGCATGCACATACATGTACCCAGTATGTTTTTTTTTTTTTAACTCTATTTACTTACTTACTTACTTACTTACTTATTTAAATTGACCAGGAAGGGACAGAGAGAGAGAGAGAGAAAGAAAGTGAGAAAGCAAGCCGCCAGGTCCGGGACTTGAACTACAGTCGGCCATGTGAGAGTCCAGTGCCCTTAACTACCCTGCCACCTGCTGGACACACCAACATGATTTTTAAACTGCCAGTCTGTGACTGGAACCACAGTCAATGTGGGAGTTCAGTGCCTTAACCACCATGCCACCTGCTGAGACGGCCATCTCATTTTTTAAAGAGCAAGTTGCAACTCTCCAAAGTGGTTTCATACATGGAATGGGTCATGGCCCTACAGCTTAAGAAACACTGACTGTTTGGCTCAGAGTCCTGTCTACACACAGTTCCACTTCCCTGGAACGACTCCTCTATTTACTCATTTATCGCTTCCTTAAAGAAAGCTTCCTGGGGTTGCCAGAGGAGCCCTCCCCCATAACCACTACCAAACTAGAGTGAAACCTCCTTTACGATGTTCTTTAGCAACTTGTACTTTTCATCAGTGCATCTACCACATTCAGACGGATGATTCACATAGCCCCAGCTAGACTATCATCTGCAGGAACTCTCAAGACCTTGTCTGTTTGCTCTTCTCTGCTCATGCAGTGAAGAACAGTGCTTGGCATGTAAAGAATGAATTATTCAAAACGATCTGCATGATGAATAATTAATTTCAAGACAGTATAATGAGCTTATACATTTATAAAGTTTTCATTAGTTTCATAGAAACAAAAAAGTAGGTTGTTGCAATGTTTTGAAAGAAAAATTTTAATAAAAATCTATTTCTAAAACAATACCATCCAAAAAAGCATACAAAGTTGAGTGAAGGCAAGAATACTCAAATTAGAGACCAAAGTTGGATTTCTATTACTATTTTTCCTGATTAATTAAGCAGAGTGCCCCAACATTTTTCAAATAGCTTTTAAAGGTCCTTTATTCCATATCTTTTTTTTAACCCCACATTATTTCTGATACTACAAACTTTACACTTAAACTAGTTTCAAACTTACCTAATAATATTAATGCTCAGTGAACCTTGGGCAATTTTTGAGCACTACTGTAATATCTAAATCTCTCTTCTCACTAACAAAAAAACAAAAAAAACTCCAGTGCCTAGTTAGGATAGCTCTTTTCTCAGCTCTAGCCTAACAAACCTTATTACTTTTGCAGTTTACTTAACAAAGTCATTCTATTTAGTTCTGATTGCTTTTAAATTTAGTAAATTAGAGAACTGGTCACTACACCTGTGAAGACGGTTACAAAAATTAATGATACATTACATGTTTCAAACAACAATCTGCCTATCTAGCAAAAAGAATTTAAGTAACTTTGTGTTGAACTAGTTTCTAAGGGGCCTGCAGAGTGTCTACTGGTAAAGAAATCGGATCCCCTTTGGCTGACCATGGTTCAAATGCAGCCCAGAGGCTTGAAAAACATGCCCGCACCTGGTATGCATGCTCAAAAGTTCTGATGAGGAAGAAATGGAAGAGAAGAGATTGTGGTATGACTACATCCATTAGGGGATGCTTTCTCCCTCTCCTTCTATCCCTGTCTCTGTTCTCTGTCTCTCTCTGGCTAGCACATGTTCCTCTGGAAATTAATAAAGCAAACAGTGAAAAACAAAACAAACTAGTGACCCAAACACAGGTTGCAAATGAACTTTTTTACTTGTTGTAAAAAGTATTTCAGGGGCCAGGCAGGTGGCGTGATGGTTAAGGGTGCTGGACTCCTAAATGGCCAACTACGGTTCGAGTCCCGCTCCTGGACCTGGCAGCTTGTATTCTCACTTCCTCTCTCTCTTTCTCACTCTGTCCCTCTCTGGTCAAATTTAAATAAATTAATTAATTCAATTAAATAATTATTTTCAAAAAGTATTTCTAAAATGCTTGAGCATTTTTAGATGAGACTAAGTAAATCTGTAAAAAAAAAAAAAAGGCAAACAGAAAGCCCAAAAAAAACAAAAACTACTATGCTGTGCTAAGTATTCTTCACTACTTTTCATATTTCAAACTAAAAAAATGAAACATTACAACTGAAAAAGATGTTTAAAATAACAAACTTAACCCAAGCTTCCATAATTGAACACGAATAATGAGTCTGGATAATATATATTTTCCAAGCTCATGTACATCACTTTCCTGTGTGCCAAATTAGTATTCTAGAGTTGGTGGCACCATAAACACAGTCACTAACAGAATGCAACTGCCAATTTAATTAAATTAGGCAATAATGCATAGAAAGTACTTAGCACAATGTCTGGATCATTATAAAGACTAAATAAACCAAAAAAAAAAAAAAGAGAGAGAGACTAAATAAACTGTTCGCTTATTACTAGCAGTGCTTTATTGTAGAAAATTGTTATTGGAGACCAGCAGTTAGCATAATGGCTATGTCCCTGGATTCCCATGTAGTCGACTGCGGTTCACATCCTGGACCTGGTGGCTTAAAATTCACGCCA